TTACATTCAAGTAAAAGCATTTATTATTATAGTAATTACTATAATAACTAATGCTTTTACTTGAATGTAAGTTACACTTTTTTCAGGTTTAAGTATCTCTGAAAATAGTTTCTGTCTTAGATCTGATGTAATGTGCCATAACAATGGTGACATCTAGTATCATCTTTCTCTGTCACTAGAAGTCACTAATTCTAAGGTGCTCCACAAAAGTATAGAACTGCTCAAAAATTGGTATTTTAAGGTCAGAACATGCACTAATAGATAGAAATAGATTTTTTTGTGTGTAATTCAGCACCTAACTTATAAAAACATAATTTTAGGAAACTAATTCATGGTTGACTGTGAAATAGTGAGGAAGTCAATTTACATATTGCCACATAAGTATAGAACTGCCATCTTTCTTGCAAGTTTGAAGTATGAAAGTATTTTTGTTTCATCATGCCATTTAACAGACTTTAAGAAAGGACAAATTGTAGCTTTGAGAACCACTGATTTATCATCAGACAATAGCAAACATCATCATGCATTCAAAAAAGTCATTCAGCATTATATGTCAAATCCTGCAAATTATGGACTAAAGCATAGAAGTGGATGTCCTTCAAAGCTTACCTTGCAAGACTGCAAATGCAGCTTTTAATTCTACAGTGTCCAGATGTAAAATTTGGGAAGATTTGGGTATTTAAGTACATCACGAAACCATTTGAAGGATTTTACACAGCAACAACAACATTGTTCAATCTTGAATGAGAAGTGCCCTTGCTCTTAAGCCTGAGCACAAAGCTGCCTGACTCAATTTTGCTAGGAAAAATATGGCCACTCAATGGAATAAGGTAAGTTTTCGTTTCGTTTAGATCTATCATGCTAGCACAAGAAATAACAATATTTTTTTGTCATATAAATAACCTTTTTGGACAAAAAAAAATTTAATTTGGATGGGCCAGATGGTTTAGCATTCTACTGGCATGATTTACAAAAAACGCCCAAGTACTTTTTGTGATGTAACTTTGGTGGTGGGAGTGTTATAGTTTGGGATGCTTTTTCTGCATTGAGAAAATTGGATTTGGCATTTGTTACCTGTTGCATGAACAGTGCTGACTTATCAACAAGTTCTGAAGAACAAATTGCTCCCATACAAACAGATTCAGAAGAATTCCTCTTATTTTTCAGTAGGACAACACATCTATTCCATGTATCACAAGATACAAAACAGCGGTTTGAAAATAAATGAATTGGCCAGTTTGTTCTCCTGATTGCAACCCTATAGAAAACGTTTGGGAAATCATGGTTGACTGAATTTATGACCAAAATCATCAGTATGCCGATGTTGAACACTTAAAACAAGCAATTGTCACTGCTTGAAACTTCCTTGAGGCATCGATCATAAAAAAAACTTGTTGATAGCATGCTAAATTGCATTTTTGATGTTATCAATAAAGGAGGTGCTAACCTCCAAAAAACCAATAACGGTGCATTTTCTCAAAAAATAAATTGTCACTAATGTTTTTGAACAATAAAGAAAATGCACCGTTATTGGTTTTTTTGACGTTACTTGTTATATATCGTGGTGTGCTGTTGATGTTTTAAAGGAGGTGCACAAATAAATTACTAAATTAAACTATTTTGTAGTATATAATTCTTTTTTCATTTATTTACTAGTCAATTCTATACTTTTGTGATGCTTGAAATCAGTTTTTTTACAATTTACAATATATGTATTTAATAAAATAATTTTTCTTTAAATTTTATTTGGAAAATTTGCAGGCTAGAGAGTGATTGTTTATAGAAAAAATTTGTAATTATACTACTATCATGTATATTATCATTTAAGAATGATTCTGTAATATAAATCTCAAATATTCAATAATTATACTTCAAAATAATAAAGTTTTTATATAAGTAAGATTTGAGATTTTATGTAAGATTTAAGATGTAAGTAAGATTTATGTAAATAAGTGTAGACCTTTATTTCTTATTCTACAGGGTACCCCAAAAGTTTCCATACATACAAAGGTGAAATGTAGCTTTATTCATAAAACATTAAAATGTCAACATTAAGATTTATGTCAAGTGGATTGACAGAGTAAGGCAACAGAACAGATAGGCAATCTGCCAATGGGATAAATTCAGATTCAGAACTCCAGTTTCCACATAGGAAATCCTGCTAGCAGGATTTCCTATGTTTCCATATAGCAGGCAGGCTATATTGAATATATATGGCATATAGCATAGCTAGCAGAATTTCCTATGTGGAAACTGTTTTCTGTTTAGGTGAAGAAAACCCAGAACACTGCATGGTGGCCAGTCCGTTGGTCAGGCACAAACCAATGACCAGTGTTCAATAGTTTTATTTATTCAGCCACTGGTGGGCTTGATTTGTGTCAATGTATGGAGACTTTTGGGACATCCTGTATTATATTATTAATTATGCTATGAAATGTACATATATGTATATAAAAAAAACTACAAAAATAAACAGAAAATCAAAAGTACAGTTCCCAAATTAATCCATTGTTATTTTTTACTAAATCTGAATTATATGAAATAAATTTCATGAAGTCTTTATAGTTGTAAATTTTTAATACATATATGCAATGTAAAATTAAAATAAATCTGTTTCTAATCAGATATAAATTTGTTTAGTGGAAGATCATTCAGCAAAATTAATTGATGAATTAATGGCAGTTAGTGAAAAATCAAAAAATACAGAGGCTTTATTAGAATTGATGGAAAGGGATAGGTAATATTTTGAGAAATTTGATGATAAAATTAATTTTTTACATAATTTTAATTGAAAAACTATTAATATATTTCTTTGTTAATGACACAGAAAAGAAAATGAAGAATTATTTTCCTTAAAACAAGAAGAATTAGAAAGTCTTAGAAAGAAAGAAGTTTTAAGTAAGGCTTAATTTAATTTAAAATTGGTTTATATATATATTGGGCAAATCCTGGCCAAAATTTTTGGGCATGCTGAAAGTAGTTATAATAATAGGCCTATCTCTAGCACTAAACAATAGGCAGAAATGTTATTTGGTATGAATAAAAAAGTATACACTATTATAAAGCCCATTATATCTACACATAAAATATATTATAATGAAAAGGTATTAAAAATTTATAATAATAATTTAAAGTTTGTGGGCCCTTGACACTGCGGGCCCAGAGCTTAAGCCCTATTAATTTCTATGTAGATCTGCCCATGTACACAATATAGGAGTGCTGACTGGCTACTGCAAGCTTTCGATACAATCTGGCCATGTTAAATTCTTCGAATGACGTCATATGTGCGCACTTGTTTGCTGCGAAAAACCTCCACACGAGCAAGTGATTGAGTTCCTGCAAGCATCGTACTGACTTAAAATGGCTAGCTGCTAGCTGCCAATGTAAAAGCAAACACAAATGATAAAAGAGTTTACACGTTAGAAAAAATGTCAATAATAACATATTTGTTCGCATATAAAAAATATATTGACAGTCAAAACTTTCTCTTAAGCATGTGGCACTTGTTAAGCAAGCCCAGAGAATTTGCCCGATATATATGGAGTTTGAATTCTATTCAGTTATTAGAAATAAAGTATGTTATTAAAAATAAAGTGATGGAAAATATTTATCATTACAATTTTACTTGAATGCAAACATGGCAAACTCATTCTATAGGTGGCAAACAGTGTGCTTGCACACTAGGCCATATCTTGTTTCTGCTATATATTAGCAAATATAAGTCTACGTGAGTATAGGTAATATGTAGTGGACTATTTGTTGTCATAGTCATTGTGCACCCATGATTTTCTTTCTCATGGTATCACATCTTATCTCATCTCCCATGAAAGATAGTGTCGCAGTTTAAGTTATAAACTCATGAAGCATCTCAAAATTAGTACAAAACCTTTTTTGTCTAGTTAAAATACTCAAAGGGGAAACAGTGAACCACTGTCAAAAATGAGTGGTAAAACTGTATGGCATGGCAAGTGCATGAGGTCATGCAGAGAAACCTCACTACTAATTTTTTGATGGTGTTTCTCCCATTTGACAGTGCCCAGCCACTTCTCCTTTGAGTATTTTAACTAAACAAAAAACTTTTTGTATTGATGTTGAAATGATCAATGACTTTGTAATTTAAACTGTACCACCATCTCTCATAGGAACAGAGATGGGATTTGGTCCCATGTGGATGGGACCAAAGGTTCATGACAACTACACCATTAAATTACCTATTACCTATACTTTCATACACTCGTATATAGCTCATAGAAGAAGCAAGTGCAATGTTTTTGCATACCTGTGTACGTGACTGTAAAAGGTTTGTGCAAAATAAATTTCTCTAATAATTGCTGAGTAGCATTATGATCTTATCAAAATGCTATTAAGTGAAAATTAAAAGCAGTTTAATCTGTTACCAACAAAATATTTTATGTTATTCAGTAGTTTAATTTCTAAATACTTGCAGCTATTGAGATAATACAGTAGATCCCCCTATAAGACGGTAGATACGTTCCGTTCTTTATGAATCAATTTTGTAGGAATCATAGTTTACGGACTACGGCTGTTTGAAAGGTTTTCTTTCATAAAATTAATCGATTCTAGACTAATTCGACTCAACATTTCCAAAATACGTATATTTTTTTTAAAATAATCCGTATAAACTACGTTATAAACAAAAAATTGTAGGATTACTTACCGAGTGTGTACCCTTTGACTACGCTCGTTGCTATAGCTTGGTTTCGTCGCGGAACAGCGCATCAAATTGCGGCCGCGATTTCTGATATTATTTTTCTGCGAAAACTTCGTTGACCTTTGGAGACATCATTAATATAAATAATTTTTATGGCCGTTAAATAAGAAATGTTTCTTTCACAAGAAATGTATAAAATTACAGTACTAAACAGACGATAGGTCGCCTAACTCGCCGTAGCGTGACGCTAGACGGCGAAAAATATATATTTAATTATAATAAAGTTACAATAAATTAAGTTAATATATAATTATATATACAGTACCTAATTTATATATAATTTATATAATACTGTCCAGACGATAGAAATCTCTCCGTAGCGTGGCGCTACGGACGGCGGGTAAGTAGTTCGGCTGCCCGATGACGTTTTACGTATTATAGGAGTTATTTTTACCGTTGTTTACGGATAATGCCACAATTTTTATAGGAATCATAACTATAGGAAACGGTTTTATAGGGGGATCTACTGTATTTTGCTTCTCAAGTCAGATCTAGATTTTATATTACCTGAAAATACAACTGAAACATGAAACTGAAATGATGCAATTTCCATTTCTTATGCTTTTAGTTTGGTGAAAACTTGACTGAAAACAAAGATGAATATATTTTACATTTCTATTTCCGTTCAGATTTTCAATTATAATAGCAGTAATGAAGCATTTTATAAGTGATATCAGTAATCTGGAAGTCATCTTGTTGATCTCATTGTCAACATTTAACAAAAATGGCTACAACAAGAAATGTAATAGAAGAAGTTACTTGCAAATTAACAAGAATATCAAAGCAGCTAAAGCATCCTTTATTTTGAAATGATTAGTTGTTGTAATTGCTTCTAAGTATCAGAAATTATCTGATTTCATTTTTAGGTAATGTGGAGCTTAGCTCAAACAAACTAAACTGAATCACTTAATTTTTCTTTTTCCATTATCAGTTACTGTTTTCAGATAATATGTAATTTAGTTCTTAAATTTATAACAATGTTGAGTTTATATTTGTATTATTGATGGCCAGTGATATAATTTCAAAATTTAATTAAATGATTATTCAAGCTCATATTTTTATAGTAATAATTTGCTCAAAATTTACATTTCCTGTTTGAAAAAATACCTATATTTAAGCCTTATATTTTCTGATGATGATGTGTAAGAAGTGAATGTTTTTCTGTTCATGGAGATTTTAGTCACATAAATATGTTACAAAATCATATTTCAGGACTTTATTTTACAAAACATTCATGATCAGATTTGAAAATGTGTGTAAATTAATATATAGATTATTATTTTTAAAAGAAGTATGCATAGATTTTTTTGATAAATAAAGCAAAATAAAAGTTACTTGCCTTAAAATAGAAATATTTTTACCTTAGAAAAATCTTTCAGTACTAGATGAAAGTATTATAATTGAGCACTAAGATAAACTGTTTTGTCTGAATTTCAATTAGAAACATGTGTTAGATTATGAAATTAAGAAAAGATATTTAAATTATTACTACTTCAAGTGCCATTTTTGTTCTGAAGGTTGGCAGTCATCATAGCTATCTTCTCTTTTGACATTGCTGCTCTGAAAAGTTGGCTGGAACTACAGTTATATCATTGTCTTAAGTGCTCAACCATGATATTCTTTTTTCCTCTACTTCTTTTACCTTTTATTTTTCCTTAAATTATCACTTGCAGCAGATTTTAGTTCTAAAAAATGCCTGGGGAAATCATAAGAGTAAAATTGGTCAGGTAAATTCTAGATCTAAAAAATAAGAATAACTGAGACCCTGAAGGCCATGATGTCTGACTTGAGTAACATCAAACAAGAATGGTTTTGTTAAGGGCAGTAGAAACCGCATCATGATGTCAAGCTTGAGTATAAACTACCTAATTTATAGAAATATTAGCAACTCTTCTAGACTTTCTTGAAATCTCTACGCTTCTCAATTCTTCAATCTCTACTTTCTCATAAAAAGTATTCTGTCATGCTTGATGGAGAAATTTCTAGTTTTTAAATATTATTATAAACTTTATGTAATACAAGGATGATACAAAAAGTAAGTTTTTTTTTACCATTTTCAAGTCAGTAACAATTTATTTTCAGAAACACATCATACATTGCAATAAACTGTCATCATTATATTACTTCTCAACATAATCACCATGGCAATTTAAGCATTTATCCCAGTGCATCACCAGTTTCTGGAAACCTTCTGTAAAAAATCAGGCTCAAATCCTTTGAGAAAGCTTTTCATGTGTGTTTGAACCGCAGTGTTGCAGCTGAATCGACAGTCCTCAAAATGTTTATGCTTATAAAACAAGTGAAGTAAAATGAATGCAATGGACTGTAAGAGCATCCCCTTACAGTCCAGATGACTTAATTGTTTTCAGTGGTGTTTTTGCAGAAATTCCTGAGGTGGTTGGCCATGTGAGGGTGAGCATTATCATCCAAGAGAAGCACATTATTGTTTAACAAACCTGGCCTTCTTCTCTGCATCACTTTCTTTAGCTTTGACAATGTTAGACAATGATGTTTGGCATTGACTGCTTTATTGTATGTGCATACGAAAATTTTCCTCAAAGGACTTTGGTCTAATTTTTTGCAGGTTTCCAGAAACTGGTGCAGTACCAGGATAAGTACAGAATTACAAAGGTAGTGAATATGTTGAGAAATAATATAATGACAGTTTGTTGCAGTATATGTTGTTTCTGAAAATCAATTTTTGTTGATTTGAAAGAGGCAACAAATTTATTTTTTTAATCACTCTTATAAAACTACAGAAATACAATTATGGATGATATAAAAGAAAGAATTAAAATGAACTTTCAATTAATTAATTAATTTTATGATCTAGTAGGCAAAAATTATCAAAAAATTTTTCCTTTCAATTATCAGAATTTGTTAAACATTGTTTAACTTTAATTTTTAATTGTCACAGTAAATTGTGTGAAAAATTATTCATGATTTCTTATAAAAACTATTTTTGCATGCAACTGCATAACTCTTAACATGATACAAAGTCTTATCTCTACCATTTAAATGAGAATTGCTGTTAAATCTAATTTATTACAGAAGTTTTCTTCAAAAATCAAATTGTTATTTTTATTAATTTTTTAAATTGCTATTTAATTAATGTGCTTAATAAATATTTTAGATGCAATGAAAGATATGTTAGAAGCTGAAGAAAAGCAAAGACAGTATGAAGCTAACCGCTTAGAAATTAAAAAGCAGTTACATAAAGGGTATTTATACAATCCTTTCAATTATCGTATTTAAATATACAGTAGAGCGTCAATTATCTGAAAGTCAATCATCCGAAACGTCAATCATCCGAAAAAATTCCAGTTGGCAAATTTAAATTTTTGCTAGTGCTGTGGCGCTGCAATCTTTGGCTATGTGTTGGGCTACTCAAATATTTTACGTTTTTGATACTAAATTAACTTCTGAAGTATAATTTTTTATTGTTTTTATATTTTTCAATATATTTATTTTGTTCGTATAAAATAAAAAAATAATTTTTAACCATACAATAGTCTTCGTTAGGCTTAACATCGACAAAAATTCAACGCAAAGCAACACGCAATGGAGAAAAATGTCGAGATGGGATAAATTAATATATTTTTTCGTACATGATCAGCCATCTGAAACATCAATCTTCCAAACAACCCCAGTCCCCAATTGATTCGGATAAATTAATATATTTTTTCGTACATGATCAGCCATCTGAAACATCGATCTTCCAAACAACCCCAGTCCCCAATTGATTCGGATAATCGACGCTCTACTGTAATTTTATAATATAGTTATTATCATAGAAAAACTAAATGAATAATTATAATGGGCAGTGAAATGAAAACAAGACAGATGGGAAAAAAGTAAGTAAACTGTTTATTATTTCAAAAGTAATCGCCATAACTGTTAATACACTTATCCCTCTGTGAGACAAGACAGTCAAAAATGCCTTCATGGAAAAATGCTTGCAGTTGCCTATGGAACCATGATTGTACCCAGGCGTGCATCTCTTTGTCTGAAGCAAATCAAAGGCCACAAATGTCTTTCTTCTGGGCTCCAAAAATATGGAAATTGCATGGTGAGAGATCAGGACTGTATGGAGGATGTGTAAGGGCTTCCCAGCAAAACTTCTGCAGCATAGTTGAAACAACCTTGGCAACTTGTAGGCAAGCATTATCCTGTAACAGAATGATGCCATCTGTCAACATTCCTGGGCATTTGGACTTGATGACGCGCTTCAATTTTTGCAAAGTTTTCATGTACCGCTGTGTGTTAATTGTAGCGCCGTGTTCCAGAAAGTCAATGAGCAGTGGGCCCTTGCAGTCAAAAAAAAAATGGTCATCATGACTTTCCTGGAGCTGGCGTGCACGACTTTGGATTTTTTCGGTGGGGTGAATCGTTGTGCTTCCATTGTTTGCTCTGATGCTTGCTCTCAGGCTCAAAATGGCGACACCATGTTTCATCTCCTGCGACAATACAGGACAGGAAATGATATTCTTCGTTGTGATACTGTTCCAGGTGCTGCAGTGATGTCGACATTCTGTTCAACTACTACTCCTCTGTCAGGCTGTGGGGAACCCACTGCTCACAGATTTTCTTGACCTTCAGATGCTGTGTCAAGATGGCGTGAGCAGTATTGCCCAACAGGAGCTGAATGTCTTCCACTGACTGCCATCGGTCAGTTCTGATGACAGAATCCATCACAGCAATGACAGAAGGGATAATGACATGATGAGCCTGTCCTGGCCGACTGCTGTCTTTCAATGACGCCCGACCTTCTCAAAATCGTTTATTCCACTCAAACACATATGCAGGTGACATATTGTGTTTGCCATACACAGCAGACATTCGGGCATGAATTTCACTTCTTGACACTCCTTTCGCAGTCAAAAAATGCACTGCACCTTGCTGTTCCTCTTTCCCAGCCTCCATAGTGATGTTGGACACACACACACAATTTGCCGACCTCACTTTGAGCATGTCTAACAGACAAATGACACAGTGGTGAACGTTCACGCTGTTCTTTCCTGATTCCCAATAGAGGGCACTTCTATACACACACCTACCTGCATTACCAATTTCCATGCCATGCTCGTTGTATAGTCTGTCTTGTTTTCATTTGACTGCCCCTTATATTTTAAATGTTATATTATTAATAAAGAATGTAATAAAATTTAAAATACAAAATATATAAAATTAGATTATAATTTAATTTTATTGAAAGTGATAGTTTTTTATTGCTTTTTATATTTGTTGGAAATGTAAATTTGGTGGGAACAAGTTCTTTATTCTTAATTTTAAAAATGTGTTTTGGTAATGCATGTCAGTGTAATGTAATAGCTGTTGATCGATTAATTTATTCAATCTTAAGTATCAGTTGCATTTTTGGTTACATGATTACCACAGGATCTACAGTGCAACTAGTCTGTAAAAGGATATGGATGGTGCATGCATTGTATATCATCCATCCTTTTGCTCTTACTCATTTTATTCATAAATTATGGGATAAAGTTTAAGTAACAAACATGAGTGCATGAGGAAATTGTCCATAACATTAATTATTAAAAAGATAAAATGCTGTTACTCTACTGCCCTATTTTCATATCACTTGTCTTTTTCATCCATGTACAGTAACACATCTGAAGCTTATTCACTTGAGAGGACATAGTATGTAAAATATGTGAAAATAATTGTGAAGAAATAAAAGTCTTATTTAATGACATAAAAGAGTTAAATCTACAGAGGCTTGTTTTCACAATTTTTAATTTCTTCTTTTATAAGCTTTAAAAGCAAGGAGTAATAATAATGCTAATGATATGGTAAAATAATAATGTTATAGATAATAAAAACTAAACTAAAACTATGAAAGTTTCAAGCTATATCGTCTTGCTCCATTGCATAGTGTTTTATCCAATACTCTGCTATTGCCATTCATAGACGTGAAACTTTTAAAGACTTCAAAGCTAAACACTAAATTTTCAGATGTCTGTTTTTGGAAATGTTTTGAGAATGAAAATGAGAAATGAGTTCTATTATTTGGACAAGGAGCTGTTTGTGTTTAAGACTATGTGCTTACCGAGTTTAGTTTGAATCAGAGACTGGCCCTCTCCTTATTAGCAATAGGAATCGTTTTTTAATGGAAAATACCAAATAAAACATTTGATCACAATGTTTAAACAGTATTTCACAGGTTCTGTCATGTCAAAATTTTTGTTTTAGTGTACTGAAAAAAGATCAAAATGAACAAAGTAATTCCAAAAAATTCTCCAAATTTTCTGTTGGTTGATAAAAAAATTCTAATCTGGAAATGCTGTGCGGCATTACACAAAATTGCCTTTGGTTCTGAACGTCACTTCCTACTTTCTGCTCAAACTCGTGATATCATGAAATCACTAGTTGTGTGGTGAATGAGACTCCCATTGCTTGGAAGCTAGACATTCTGCTGTTTTTCCTGAAGTGTGATTTGTGATTCAGTTTCACACTGAATATCAAAACAAGTGGACTTGGTTTTTTATCACTAATTACTATCACCAGTATTATAGTTTTATCGCAACTTTAATACAAATATCGCCAAGTGGTGATTTTTGTGCTATGCATTGTGACCTCTGATAAAACTTATTAATTAGTAAATATATTTTAGTATAAGTTCGGGACACACCTTGAAAGTCAGGGATTTTCATTAGTGTTTAGAAAAGTTATGGAATGTCAGGGAATTTGCTAAAAATTGTTTAAAGTCAGGGAATTGCTTCCTTGTCTGCCTTGTTAATTTTTTTGCTGACAATATGCTTGTCTAAGTGTAGCCATCTACAGGCAGCAAGAAGTAATGTGATGCAATACAACTTATGAAAAGAGGTGCAGAATATTTTCAGGACCCAAAATTTCTCCCAAGCTTACACAAAATTTGTCCAAAAATTTATAAAGTACACAAAATGATAAATAATTTAAACGGTATTATTTATCATTTTTCATTTTAATAATTTTGATTGTGTAAAAAACAATTTCTGATTTTTTCCAGTTTATTAATATTTTATAAAGTTCAGAAAATTTATTAAGAGATAAATTTAATAAATACATACTTTTGTACATAGATTATACAGGATTTGTTAATGAATAAAAAATAATTAATTTTTTTTTCTCAAAGCCATGTAGATTTATGATTGGAGATTAATAACAGAATTTTAATATTGCAGAAATTTTCTGCAATTATAAAAAATATATAACTGTTAATTAGAAAAAATAACTAATTAAAATGTTGGAGAACCAAAACATATGTGCATAGTAAGTCAAGTGCTGCTTTATTTTGTCAATGTGCCATACTAGTAGTAGTGGTTTGACACACACTAATCACAAAATTAATTTTTCTAGGTAATTCAGTATAAATTTTGTTAGAATTTATTTTAACACAGTTATGGATTTTCATATAAATTTTAATATTTGTTAGAATTTATTTTAACAGTTATAGAAGCGTACTGACAGAATTAGTCACAAAATTAAAATTTGTTGTCTTTTGTAATTTTTCAGATAAGCTAAAGTTTTTATTGTTGTGAAGTGAGTGATAATTTGAAATAATATAACACTGAAATTTTTTTTTAATTTTTTAATTTTTACAGTACATGGAAATTTTTACATTACATTTTATTTAAGTGTTTCCAGTTTTTCCTTCAATTTATCTATACCAATACACATTTCTCCCATTAAGTACAGGAATAAGTTCTCACGATTGCAAACGCTGTATTCTCGATTTAATTTTTGATATTTTATAATGTGACACCAAGAAAGTTTGCCATTGGAATTCGTCAAGTTTTTGATAACGAGAAACAAAATTCCAGTTTAGGTAATCCTTTATTTGGCATAAAGTTGTGGTTTTTAATTGTTAGTATTTTAAAATTTTTTTATATCAAATTTATTTATGAAGAGCCTAATAGAATCATACGAAAGAGGTTGGAATTCGGCGACTTTATTCCAATCAAGAAGATCCGAAAAAGTAGTTAGGAATCGTTCATCTAATAGTTGATGTTGGCAAATTAAATCCCATTTTGCATATTTAATATGTTGCATAATAAATATGATCGGAAATCTGTAATTTTTCCATATGTATTCCCAATTTAAATTATCCGTGAATTCCGAAATAAACATGTTAGATAAATCGTTTCGTCGACTGATTGTATCCCAATGAACATAATTTTTAAATTGACAAATAGTTTGTTCTTCTAGGGGCGAAGATGAGAAA